CTGACACCAACATCTGAGAGATAACTTACTCTATCAGATGATATAGTTAGTTTGAGTGGGCATGTTGCAATTTGGGAACAACCGACGTTTAAATGCATGGCATACATTTGGCTTGTACGCCTTTGCACATGTTGCTGCATGGAGAACGAGGTACCCAACACGCTAACTTGAAAGTACCCATCTATAAGTAAAAAAAATGGTCAATTTTGAAGAAAAGTGACTAAACTAGTTTTAGTAGTTTTTTAACCCATTAATGAGTAACTGTTATCCATTAATGGGTAACAGATACTCATTAATGGGTAAAAATTGCTAATTTAATGGTAAGTCACTTATCTTTAAAATTTATATTTTTCACCCAATAATGGGTACTTTGAAGTTAGTTAAAAATTGAGTTTTCTTTCACTCATCATGTGGCTTTCATGAGGCTAGCTAAAATTAAATAAATTATGAAAACTAAATTTTGAGAAATCCTCATCAATAATCCATTCAGTGAAAATTACCTAACCATCAATTGAATGCAATTGGCGTTCACAGCGACTCTGTAGCTCTTTACTCCTACGTTAAAATCCATAAGTAAACTTCAGACTGTGCGTGAAACATGGCGGACTTCGTGATAGTACGAATAGTACCGGTGGAAACTAACGATTTTAAATTGATTCACTACTTGAATTGCCTATTGGTCCCAAGCAAATCGATTAACGTACCCTATTCTTGTCGAAATTCTAGTACTACACTATGTTTGTTTTGATTCTGTATGGAAGTTTGACAGATAAAATGAGGGGTTCGTGGATTTTCCTATGTTTCGAGGAGTACATCGATTAGCTTGGGACCGAAGATAGTACCAGAACTGAGCCAAAAAGTTGAGCACATTTTTTCGGGACCTTCTGGTCTTAAAGTTACCTCTATGGTACTATCCTTTCACTTCACTGAAAAATACCTTAAGAAACTGTCAATCATTTCTAGAAGATACCATTTTTCGACGGTGCCGTCAACGCCAATAAAGGAGCACGAACGAAGGCGATGAAGCACACAAAAATGACAGTATCAAAGGCAGCGCAGGTTGCTATGATTTTCATCCAAAAATAAGTTACAATTTCCCAATGGTGAAAACATGACGGTTGAGTACTTATAACTTAAAATCGAATTCATTTTAATTTTTGTTTGTTTTTGAGTGTTTTTTTCTTACCGTGTTTGTTAATCTATTACCCAAAATTGGGTTAACGATTATTACCGTGTTGAAAGTTTTCCTCCTGTCAGTTGCCAATGTGGTATGTAAAGAGGGATGGCAGATATAATTTGCATTTTATTTTGTTTGTTTGGATTACCTCTAAGCTTATTGTACATTCAAACTATAGGAGATATAACGTTATTTAGGCACTTTTGATATCATATTATATAACGTTATTACGTTATTAATATCAACTATAGTCTGAACGTAGTACAATGTCATGACGTCAGGGTAGGCGTGTAACATGCATGAGAAAGCTAATACTGTTTGCCACACCTTTTATTTGACTAAACGTATGAATTGATTACACGCTTAAATAATAAGGCCACAAATGTTTTTAGTCACCTTTCTCACCGGGAGAGGGTATTACCAACAATCAATACGAAACTAACGATTTTAAATTGGCTCCCCACTTTAGTAGCCTATTGGTCCCAAGCAAACGATTAACGTACCCTATTCTAGTTGAAATTCTATTACTACACTATGTTTGTTTTGATTCGCAATGAAAGTTTGACAGATAACATCAGGGGTGTGTGGATTCATGCAGAACATGCAGGGGTGAGTGAAATAGCTTGGGACTGCTTGGGACCGTTGTTCTGGTACTGAGTGAGCCAAAAATAATAATGATTTTCTTCGGGACCCAGTGGTCTTAGAGTTACCTCTATGGTATTACTTATGCGTCTTTTCAGAAATATATGGGAATTCTGGAAGTGAACCATATTGTTAATTTATAATATTTGCATGCATGCAAAGCCACTGCACACAAACACAATCAGAAAACCCACCCTGGCACTTAATACAATGGTGGTGAAATTAATTCACTTCTTCCTCAACCCCCCACGCAATGAAAGTGAAACAACTAAAGTTAAATGCCAAATGTAAATTCATCCAAACAACTGTACAACAACCAATCCATTGGGTTTGGTAAGGATAATATGTATACCCATTGAACTATTGCGACAAAAGTGCAAAGTCTGTATTCCGGATGTCTGTGATCTTTCCTCCTACATAGTTCTTCTTACATCCACCCTTCCACAGCCGTCTGTGACGCGACGGGGTGTAAGCATAATGATTTGTGTGCCCTGAACGCATAAAACAGGGGAATACCAACAACAACATTGCAAGTAGGACACATTCAAAGTGCAAGCATGCGCTGTGGTTACCCTTTTTAATGTGTGAAAGATAGTGCATGGCTTGCTCAATAAATAGATTCAAGAGTGAACTATCAAATAGCCGTATCTGTTGTTGTATACAAAGATTTAAGCATCAATTTGTCAAAACTCTTAGCTCGCGCGCTAACCAACAGTTGCATACAAAATATGGAATATTTCACTACATATCTCATAAATTTACACGATCTATATTGTAAACTTGTATTATATGTGACGCTCTATTTATATGCATCACAGTAACGGAAATTTAAACTACTTTTTTAAACTGTCCTCCATCATCAGTCAATTTTTTTTCTGAAGTATGAAGTGAATACGAAGCATAGTTTTTTTTTTTTCATTATTGTGATCTCCGGCAAAGGAAGATAGATATGACGTTTTTATTATTATTCCTCAAAGGGGATATACGTTAATTCTGTCACGCTAAATTAAGGGAAAATGTATTCCCCCTCCCCTTTCGTCACATTTTTCCTATACCTAATGCATAGCTTACCACAAAATCCTTACCAATTATAGTTGCTGAAAAACAGACCCAGCGACCGAAAAACTTAAACCACGTATCATTAGCCAATTAATGCAAAGCCTCCCATCTATTCGAGCACCATTAGTACACCTGCTCAAGAGAACCACCCAAGCAACAATTTTTGTTTTATTTAAGTTTTATAGCAGTTGATATAACCAAATTATAAAACCTTCACTGACGACCACATTGCTTTAACAATCTCCTGAGAACCGCAATACAGCCATGTCATGGCCAATTGGCCCAGTTTTAATGCAGTCATTAAAACTTGATATGCGAACTACTTTAGGAGCATAGGATTTATGTCAGTTTTATCACACTCTAGACGTGATTGTTAAAAATGAAAACATAAAACCTCCTCCAGGTCAGAAAGTTTTAACAGCCTTCTAATGACTACCATAAAACTATATTACAACCGCATAAACCGCTCCTGAAGAAGTTGATAAAACATGATACGCAAAACATTTTGACAACTTTGAAAGTTTTAAGTTGGGGTTTTTGGATGATAGTTAATATTGAGAAATATTTTATTGTGGTTTTATTCTTTCGATGTTTGATGTGAAATCATGATCCTTTTCAGTTGGTAATAATGGCTGATATTATTGTACATTGAAAATAAGACGACTTTATTATAATTTTAAACCAATCTGTATATGCTTCACAGCATGCCGTGCAATATTTATGGTGATTATTATACCAAATAGGAGCATAAATTTAGTGCGCCATATGAATACTAAAATATAGGGATATTTTTAATTTGTCTGCATTAGCACCATGCATTAAACAGTCATTCAAAGATTATCTATTTAGTACAAAACTGTTACTACTGTTGAGCAATAACCAGTCACATATTATTTAATTATACATAGATGTATGAAAGTGTTTTATTGCCTATCAATTAAAGCGTAATTATTCATACTGTGTGAAATTTGTTCATACGGCGACATTTTTTTCGTTATAACTTGCTACTCCTTAAAAATACCTCAATATAACATATTCTCCTAGATTGGAATTCTATAGCATAACATAAACCTAATGGTTGTATCTTAGCATTTCGTAGTCCAAATTGAGAGCGTTAAGTTATATTTAAGCTCATAAGCATAGCTTGCTGGTTTTATTCGGTACAGCGAATCAAAACAAAACAAAAACCATGACCACCTGTCAAAAAGTCAACATTCCAAGCGATCCTCCTATTTTCGCTTGTAATCAAGATGTAAGAAATGCTTATTGGATCCACTAAAAGCTTTTTCAATACAAGGTTTAAAGCCGTGATGTCAATACTGGCCATCTCCAAACGGATTTAGTGAAACTGTCGGCGTTGCTTTAAGAAGGGTTCGTGGATCTTTCGGAAGTGTATCGGAAAGCCGCTTGTTCAATATTTTTAAGAGCTCCTTCACCGCACTGTGCCTTATGTAGGGATCGTATAACTGTAGTTCCTCCAGGAGTTTCATATTGTCGATGGTCTCATCTTCATCGTGTTCAGAAGCACTGAAGGGGTTTTCATTTCATATATCTGAATAGATTTGTTTTTTTATAATGACAAAAAATTTCAGAGTATTTTTTGTTGTAGCAGTATATTTCTTATCTGTGAATCTTAGGCCTCTGATAAAGATGATAGTTGTAATGAAGCTTTAATGAAGGTCTAAGACTGCTTCAAGTTTTATATCGGTCATAAAAAGTGTACCATAAAACATAATTGTATGTTTTGTTTTGGTTTTATTCTTCAGTTATAAGTAGTGATGCAGAACCACCTTACAGCTACCGTTAAAACTATGAAGTCTGAGTTTTAATTTATTAGTCATAAAACAGTTTTATAGACGACTTGACGGCCTGATTTTATGACAAGCACACAAAACCGTAATACAACCACAGGCTGGAAGGGATGCTATGATAAAACAATGATAAAATAAGAATAAATCTTCCAAGCATTTAGATTGTTACTTGGGCACCCTCGTTTACACTAGCCCTGTATAATATAGATGAGGCAGTAAAGTCGCTGATAGTTCATCAAGTTTCTTCCTCAGGAATCAAGTTTGATCCCAAACAGTCCATTTCTGCTTATTTACATATTACCATTGAATAATTTATAATTTTTCCAATTCCTAAACATTGTTGATTCGATGAAATTTTCTGTCATTTAAAATGTTTTCGTTTCGAATCAGGACCTACTATACCGCTACTATAAAAACCGGTAATCGCCTAATGTCAAGGTGATAAAATGAAAAAGGTCAGATTTTGAGATGTGCCACTGGCCAGTGTTGCACGAAGCCGAGGCTTTATACACAGTCAGTACATGCACGGCGCACTCTACCCAATTGTTATTGCCGTTTCAGAGAAAATAATTCGACGCAACTGATAGCCACAGCGTGCTATTGGCAATACTGTGTTCACATTTGAAATTTGATCAATTTCAGTCCACGCATCTCCAAGTCCAGTCCAAGTGAGCAAGAATGAACAGGAATTAGTAGTAATATATTGATGTATGTTTACTTTAGGACCATGGTTCTAAATGCTCATATCACATAAAAACATGTTTTTCGGAACAATAAAATCAAAAAATGTTGTGACTACTTGTTTTACTCATGAGTAATTCTCGTTAAAATCAGGCCGCCATTGACACAAGGTCTTCAAAAATTTAAATTTATGCGCTGTTTGACACAAAACTAACAAATTGACAGCTCACTCCCATACAAAGTACCACTGAGGGGCGCTAAGATGGTGAGTTTTGCTTATGTAATCACACTTATTTCAAACAGTTCAAGTGCTCCAAAATTGATGAAATTTTGGATTTCGGTTCCATTTGTGATGCAGATTACGAATATCCAATTACCTTAAAACCCCTAAAGAACCCAATTTTAGTCTCCACTTTCACGGTTCCTTTCATCCAATGTTACCCCGTAGGCAAGGTAGTTTAGTGGTTTTGCTGCCCCTCCGTAGAGATGAAATGTTGCGCTCTTTTTTATCAAAACAATCACACCAATATCAGAGATGTCCCATTTACAACTAATCTTTCATTTTTTAAGAACTAATCGATCATTTTTTGTTCGCTGTGCTGCAATTTTTCCACCAATGAAAGTGCAGCACATGTTTGAAACGATGGGTGATGATTATCTGGAGAAGTTAATGCTTATATCGGCATGATATAACCCCGAGTTAATAATAGAAGAGTTACACAGAGTGAAGCTCGTAACACTGATGTCGATCAATGGACATTTTTATTATTTTGGCAACCTTTGTTTTTGTTTACACCTCGGATGACTTCACCTGGGTTGTGAAAGTTTCCTCTAGTTTCGATGACAATACTTCCTACGCAACAGAGTCAGTTTGTCTACTATGCTCGATAGGTAGACGGTTTGACAGTTCGATATGTAGATTTTGTTTTCAGTCTGCGCAACTCTTCTATTCTCAACTCTGATATAACCGATTACAAATATTTTACTTTTCGGTTCGTTAATCGATTGATCGATTATTCGAATAAAAATCGGCCATCAGTAGATGAATGTCAATCGTATTTTCAAATATAAGGACCGTACATAAATAATGATACAATTTGAAAGGGACCGATACTAATCACAAATTACGTCCCCACGGTAACTGAAGTAAACATGTGTAGTGAATGAGAACGACCTAAATTTGAGTTTAGTTCACTCATAATCGCCAAAAGTGCAGGAACTCAGCGATGAGTAAAATTTGTCTCATGGTTTCCTGTGGAAAACCTAAAAAATATACCGGAAAATGAGGAAATTGACGAAAATTTTATTCAGTCTCGGAGTAGTACCAATAGACTGAGTGAATCCAATCTTTACTTTTCTCAAATTCGGGTATTTTTCCCTGTAAAATCCTGGAAAAACCTGGGAAAACTTGAGGCAAATTAACTCATCGATGAGTTCCTGCAATTTTGGCGATTATGAGTGAACTAAACTCAAATTTGGGTCGTTCTCATTCGCCGTGTATGTTTGCGTTTTTGTATTATGCTCCTTATAGAGATTAGTGACGTTTAAAGCACGCACACTAACGAAGATCTATCACTGTGTAAAGTTGTTTATTATTTTCCTCGAACTAACCTCAAAATGTATGTAATTCGATCTGTCTAAATGAATTTGACAGCCGTTTGTTATGTATTTTCCTCGGATTTTCACTACCACAGTTTCTCACAGCGCACCAATACAACCGGGCGTGAAAATCTCTATCGTAACATTATGTGATTCTAACAAAAACGAACATAGAATCCCGCAGACACAATATTTACTTCCGGTTCCGGTATGGATGTACAGGTATCATGCGAGCGCCTTACCGCCGCAAGCACATGTGAATTTTATGTAAGCGCTGCCGAATAAAAAGCTCTGCGCGCTTATTTGGCGTTTGCATCGTGCAGCGGCGGTAACGCCCAATTTTATTGCAATGGTTTTGAAGTTTTGTTTGGCTCGACGATAGTTAGTTCTGTGTTGCAATTGAGCCTTAATAAATAAATTAATTGGGAATTTTTTTAATATTGAAATATATGTTGATTTTGGCATTAAATTTAAAAATCAATAATTTTGAAATTATTATTAAATCGAGCAACAAAAACAATCTCGTAGTCCTATGTCAAAAATGCGGTCGTGCTTTGGAAATAGTCCTCATCTTTGGTATACAGAAATAAGTGGATGAACAGTAGAACTACCACAGTCAAAACTCATTGAATATGTTTCACTGTAAAACATCATCAATAAACCACTACCACCATTTGTTGAGAACACTGTCGTGGGAAGTACGCTCAACAGTTGGCGGTAGTGTGTAAACTTCAACGCAGCATTGACTATGCAAGCAACCGGCGGAACTACCAAATAAGAAAAATTAAAATGGATCGTTAAATGCGTGATCTATTAAAAATATGTTAGAGTTATGTCTGTTTGTCTGTGAATCACCTTCGCTTCTCAAGATTTTAATATAATCGGTATAAATCATTTCTATTTTTACTATAGAATGCTAACGTGAAATCAAGTAAATTTTTCAGTTAACCCATCGTAAAATAGATAGTTTAATGCTATTAATCTCCCTATCAAAATACAAAATTTTCGCACCGTAGAGCCACGCTCTGTGTATTCACAGCACCTTCGAGAGCGCTCTCAAGTGCTCCTTTAGTGAAAACGCAGAGTGTGGTTCTGCGGTGCGGAAATTTTGAATTTCGATAGGGAGATTAATAGCACTAATCTATATATTTTAAGATGGGAAAACTGAAAATTCAATTGGATTTAACGCAAGCATTTTTTATTAAAAAGTAATGAAAAAGTCGCAAAAGAGCGATCCATCCCTGTATCGAGCCAATAATCAAATTTTCTCAGTCTCAATCGGTGTTCACTACCAAATATAGGTTATCGGAAATTTTCAGTTTATCATAGAGATTGCTTAGGTGTGATTGTGTCAGTAATCTGTTTTCATCAGAAAAATGTTCCGCTATGAAGTTTTTTTTTTCCTGATAAAAATATTTTTGCGTATAAGTATACGTGACGTAGTGTGCGTACGATAAACGTCAGCAATCTCTATAATCAGAAGACACCTCATCATACTAATGTGGGCAAAAAGTATTCATACTACACTCAGAAATAATGAAAGTTGTAAATAGGGTATTTTCTATGCCAGCTTTGACTAAACTTTATTTAAACATCGCTATGCATATGCATTTTTAAATACTTTTTATGATCAGCCTGTCTAAATTAACTTTAGTTTTTTAAGTGTCTACTACATCACTTAGAGCTGAACTATCACTTGGAACGGATTGTCTTATTTTGTAATAAAAAATGCCCACCAAATATCTTGAATGTCTTTGAGGTATGGAAAGATTCCGTGAAATTAAATTGATTTGTTCCAAGGTGCAAAAAAATGTGAGTATGTTTAAGTTCATTGTATGCATTTTGTCAAATGTTACATATTTTAAAAATGGCTAATTTTATTCATTTACTAAATTATATGAATATACCAGATGAATCACTGAATTTCGATATGCTCGATAGTAACCAAATAAAAGTGCTTTGACTATATGTTTTTAGTATTACTTCTACGTGAAGTCAACGATTTACATAGTTGAAGATGCTAATTTCAAATAACAGACTGTAGTGGTAATTTTTATACGATAGATGGAGTAGATGAAAGCATAGAGTTTATAGTTCCGTTAGAGTACGGCAGTGTGAAGATTGTATATAGATATTAGACAAGCGAGCTAGGACAACTTTTAAGGAAGGTACAAATCGGTTTTTCATCTCTCTTTACCAAACTCCCCCTTTGGAGAGGGATGGTGAGGGGTGTCCCCCCACCCGCCACCACTGGCAAAAAGAGATGAAAACCGACCCGCTCAAGTACCAACTGTGTGTTTGAAACAGTTCTACCGATTTTTTACCGCACTTCAGTTGTTATTTGAAGGAAGGCATCCAGTCGTAGGTAGCAGCACCTACCCCACCCGTGTCCCCTCGAGAACGTCAAGTCGACGATGACAGGAGCACATATCGTGGTAGGGGTAAACAATAGTTGCAATTTCCAAACCTACGACCAAATAACAACTGAAGTGCGGTAAAAAATCGGTAGAACTGTTTCAAACACACAGTTGGTACTTGAGCGGGTCGGTTTTCATCTCTTTTTGCCAGTGGTGGCGGGGGGGGGACACCCCTCACCATCCCTCTCCAAAGGGGGAGTTTGGTAAAGAGAGATGAAAAAACCGATTTGTACCTTCCTTAAAAGTTGTCCTAGCTCGCTTGTCTAATATCTATATACAATCTTCACACTGCCGTACTCTAACGGAACTATCAACTCTATGCTTTCATCTACTCCATCTATCGTATAAAAATTACCACTACAGTCTGTTATTTGAAATTAGCATCTTCAACTAAATAAAAGTGACTAACTTTAAAATCTTTAAAATAAATCAAAAGTTTGACAAAAACTCCCCATGAGCTTATGAATACTCTTAAAACGCATTTTTTTTTTTTGGTTATTATGCACAAAATATACGGTTACCTGTCAAAATAACTGAAAAAAGTATATTCCAATTTTATGCATCGAATGAGTGAAACCAGCGAGGCTGGATTTTGTATAAAAATAAGTCTAAATTTACTTTTTTTTTTTCTTTTAGAGTGTAGCTTCGCTCATCTAAAACACGCTTAATTGTGTTAACCGAATCTCGACAATTCTCCCCACGATTTACACCGGGATCTCAGCGAAAGTGAAGTTTGATTACTGAATCTCGGAATAAATTTTGCTGAATTTCAGCAAGCAAACGTCGTGTTTGCTGAGATCTCAGTAAAATATATTGCAATGTTCTGTGCAAATCCCGTCAAAAATTGCCGAGTTGGCGAAAACAAAACTAAGTGTGTAGGTTGGCGAAAAAACTTCAAAACATTCCTACTAATCGTAGCGCACAATACTTATCACTGTCCTACGCAGACCAATCGACGAAATGATGTATATTCCATCTGCACTACCACAGTCGTTGCTGCACAAAGATCAATAGCGTCTCCCCCAGGTTCTAGCATCAGTAATGCAATCAATAAAGAACCAAAACATTCCGCCCATCTTACCCCCGACACCAGAGCACAGAGGAAACCTCGGGGATATCAACCGCATGTTTTGATCGCCACACAAGTCACAAGCCATTTCCTACCCTACTCAAAAACACTGAAGTGCGGTCATCAGTATTGGTATGTTTACGAACCAGATATACAAATATCGCATGTTTTCCTGCTGAACCAGATGGAACAATATATTTTTCCCAGGACGGGAATTTGTATTCGAATATTAGTAATATGTAGTGTACTACCAACTAGTTATACATACTTACCCTGTGTAGAACACCCACTTAGATGATGATGAAAAAAGTAAAGCGATTATATCATCTACTCTACGTTTCACGTTCAAACTTGTCCGGGGTGGAAAACAGATGATTTTCTTTGTTATTATTTTCAAATATGGCTCCCCAGATCCCAAGGGGATGCCCCGCAGTAAAACACTTCAGCTAGCGAGTATACAGTCTATTCTCGCTTAAACAAATCTTATTACACACAATTTTTCAATTAATCCAACAAGAATAATTCTAAGCACTATTATTCACGTTATCAAGTTCAACTATTTCACAACAATGTGATTCTCGTCAAGCACACTGCCATAAAATTCAAGTTCAATAGCAACAATATGTCTTGCAAATAGTTTTATACCGTTCAGATTGGAGTCACATCAACCTATCAAGATCTTCAGCACACGTTTGAAGCCAGAATTTCACTTTTTAACTTGCACTTTTCCACGCTATCACTTGCAGAGCACAAACATTATACGGCCATCTTTGAATCGCACTGACTATGGTATGAAAATGAATGACTCGATGTTTACGATTCTGATGAATAAAAATATTCTTTTATTCCGAAGCTGGCCGACCGAGCAACCACACATCTACCAGCAAAGTTAGGAACGTAAAACGTGTTATTATTTTCATCTTAACGTGTGAATGAACTCTAACACTGCCAAAGATCCGGTGCTCTTTGGTGTGCGTTTCTTCAACTTCCAAATGATTCATATCAACAACACTCAATTTGTGCAAATAATTCATACAAACATTTCATACGCATGCGCACAGCTTAGCGTGAAGCTCGTTAATATGGAAAATAACAACAAAAATAAACGCTATTCGCACGAAAATGATTGCTTCATATGGAAAGCAAAACTATACAATACTGATTAAGTATAAATCGTTTAAATTTTATGTAATATAATTCAATCAGCAATTCTCGAGGAAAAGCATGACATAACAAAATCATTTAGAACGATAAGCCTGAATGCTTGTAACCAAAGTGAAATATCGATAAAGCACAGAATGGCTTCGTTGCCATTCGCTTCAGCATCAAATTGGGGGTTGTTTTGATTTTCTGATCCGGTACCCGGTCCGCATGGCATACTGCAAAGAGTGCTTCATTTTCTTCTTTGTTCTAGCCTGCTATGCGACTCACTAACACATATAGCGAATTCGTTTATTATTCAGTTCCAACCTGGATCGGGTATCAGGATTGGGTCTGCTTGTTTTCTGACAAACGTCAGTTTGCTCGTTTGTTTTTAAAACCTAGCTCAGGTTGAGGTTCGCACTGACAAAAAGTTCGGTTTCGCACTGGGTTGGAACTGGTTCCAACCCCGATAATAAACGAATTCGCTAATAGTCAAGATCACGAGGCATCGAATGTTTTGTTGCATGTGCCATAGCTTAGGTACATGTGATGGTTGTGAAAGCTTTGGAAAGCTCGCTGAAAAATGCTTCACCGTACCGTGCGAATTGGTGACACGCTGTAATTTTAATTTGAAATAATTTTATTCAGTTGAATGCACGGTGGATTAGAAGTGAAAATTGATTGTTTTCTGGTGAATGCGTACATTTTGGCGTTTAAGTGTGTTCAGAATTTATTCATAATTTTATCTTTCGCATCTTTTGGAATATGCACATAAAGTTTTTCTTAATGTGCAACTATATTGCATAATACTAACATTTTTAATTCAACAGATAGAGAGTATGTTTTCTTGGCAAAGTTGAAGAATATATAAATTCCAAATAACTTTGCTCAAGACATCAAGTTGCGACGGCAACAGTTTATCGGAAGTAGTAGTAAAACAGTTAGTTAAACTTTTCTACATTTTAGTCTCGTTATATCTCTTCGTCATGTTTTGCAGAACAGACAGAACAGTTTTAGATAATAATAAAACACACAAATTTTCAGTTTCTAAATCTAATTATGAGAGATGTATCGATTTTAAGGCAAGAAGTAGCCCTTTTTCAAAACGTTATAACTAAGCAAGTGACTGCATTTGCAATTAATTTCATTTTAAAGCATGAAATACGAACTTAATTTGTTGTGGAGATCTGGGTACTGCGAACTCAATGTGCTTGTCACTTGGGAGTAAATGTGTACTGCCAAATGGAAGCCAAACATTCAGAAGCAACAAATGAAGTTGCTGTTTTTATCTATCGTCAAGCATTGCAATCTCATCTAAATGATTCATACTTTTTCATGACACATCCTGAATTTTAAGTACAAAGGCAAGCAACATCAGGCTCAATGATGAAAGTATAAAAACAACATAGTTTTTATGACTCAGCTGAGTTTTCAATTACAATAAAACATGCATGGTTGCATGCACAACATGTGTGTAACCAACTTTGTTAAAGTCATGGGGGCTCGAGCACTTCTGGCTCAGAGCTTTTGACGGGAATCAACTGCGAAAGAGCAAAACAATTTTAATCTTGTCAAGCAGTTTTACATTGGTTGGCAGAATAAAAACGATCGATTCAGCATAACACAGGTGAGCTGGGTTATTGTATTCACGGAGTTATTATTATATTTAGCTATATTTAGGTAACATTTATATTTCTATTATATGCAGAACTAACTGCCAAGAACTATTTTTTTTAAATAAAAAATTTCAGGGAATTTGTTGAAATATAACTCTGCATGCTTTTCTGCAGCAACATTGAACTGCATTTTTATTTTCATATATAAATAAGATCGCCAGATGTGAGCCCGAAAAATTGCAGTGGTTATGAGAAAAGGTATTTATCAATCAGAAGATTGCAATAAAAGTTCTACGCAGATGTCGCCACTGCACGACGATGAAAGTTAATCGATGCACCCCTCGAAACCTAGAAAAATCCACGACATCATCATGAAGTTTAATATGTTAAAGCACAACAGTTTTCGGTTTCTGATTGTTGAGCTCATCGCCCATTCCGTACACAGCGAAAAATAAATTTTATTATTACATCCAAGAGGATGCACTTCAATCATGTCGAAATCTCATGTAATTTTTATGGCCACAAAAATAAACAAATAAAAGCAGCGTTATGTCAGTTCATGCACTGTATTAATGATAATTCTGTCCTTTTTGGCAAATAATATTACACCATATTTTCGACACGATTGAAGTGCATGCATATGTGATATTAAAATTATATTTTTGTTGTTTATATATCCATATAAAGGCAATGATAGTGTGAAATCAACATGGAATTTTATTTCATGGCTGCTACGCCGACACACCGAATATCTATCCTTCGAACATGCATTTAAATGCGTATGCGTTACTTAAAAGCTACCATTTGATATTTGTTCCACCATCTTATTCCAAAGCCTTGGTAAGGGATCCTTTATAAATTTTGTAATACAAAAATATGAAATCGTTTAAGAGATGTGACAGCACTTGTTCATTGACATAGCGCGTAAAGCAGTGCTAGGCTAATGCCTCATTTGTCAATACAACATGGTGATCAGTAAATGCCGATTAGAGAAAATCCACGTCAAATAGCGTGGTTTGCTAGGGGCAAAGAAGCCAGATTGTGCTGAAATTCGGTCGTTTTGAATCGCACCTAATTTTGCAAAATAGGCGTATTTGATATTTTTCAATAAATCATAGCACGAAAACAGCTCATCTAATTGAAATGACGACAGCGAAAAAGTTATATGAAACTGGATTGCCTTTTTTAGAAATAAAAATACACACTGAAAAAAATTCCAAATTTCAGTTCAAAAAAATAAAAATAAAACTGTTAAAAACTGCAATAACAAAACAATCATTTTTAATTTTTAATTTAAGCTTTGAATCATCAAAAATGCTATTTTTTCTGATTTTGACTCAATGTACACTAAACATTTGACTAAAATCGTAGATCGCTAAAAAAATTTCTTCTGCATAAAAAAATAAAAAAAAATTAAAAAAAAAAAGTTTCCATTGTCCATTGTATCCAATATTAGAAAAGATAGCATTTTGAAATTGAAAGCTTATGAGCATAAGTTTAAAAATCTTAAAAATGTACAGTTTTTCTTTTCTCATTTTCGGACGAAAATTTGTAGTTTTTTCCATGCGTAAAGGAAATTTACTTTCCTACAATTTTGTTTCAGATGTCATTTCGTTAAGATGAGTTATTTTCATGCTATGATGTATTGAACAATATCGAATACGTTATTTTGAAAAACTAGTCACGAGTCAAAATGGCCAAATTTCAGCACAAACTTGGTTAATTGTCCTAGCGAACAATTATACGAAGTTGTATGGGATTCTGAGAGAGTAAAATAAAATCGATGAAAGGATGTTGCTCACGGACATTGCAGAAGTTTGGTTTACATCTCACTGCAGTCTGAAAAATTATTGAGGAAATCTACCCAAGAAAAAATCGACTAAGTCCACGTAAACAGTACCACTGAACTGTCATCCGATTGAGGTTAACCCCACCAGCGGTGCAAAACCTTATTAGACGGGTTAATTTTCGGTAGCTGGAGTTGTCGGTTCTGATTTCGGCGTTGGTCGGGAGTTGATTCGGCCGGTGAAAAGCTGGCGCTGCGTCTTAAATACTGTGTCTACTGGTGACTGAAGCCGTTGTGTCGCGAGTGATTGGTGGTGGAATGTGGACGCAGCCCTTTTTTCTCTGCTGAAATCCCTCTAGTTGGAGCAGCTAGAGTGTGTTTCTTGGTTGATGGGGGTTTACGCTGCTGTGTGAGGAACGAAAGGCGAGAGTGCTGTTTTGACTTAGGACTACATCTTTCGGGAAGGGTGCCAATTCAGGGAAATGCAACGAAAATTGGTCAGACTATAAATGCTAATAACTTGGCCAATAATCAATGGATTTTTATTATTTTTATTTCGATCGTTTCACCAGTGTTATAAGATTTGTGTGGTATGTCACACATTATAATTGTTAAATATTTAAACAGTTAACAATGAAGAAATATAGGAATATTCAAATTTCCTATTTTTTCTTCGACCGCAAGGTGCCCACCCCTAACACAGCCATCAGAAAGTTGATCCCTAACGACACAAGCCGAAGCCGCACAATCATTCAACGTTACACGTTGGACGGTTCGACCTCGGAATTGTTTTTTTGCAGCGTGGATATCGTAGTATTCCTAGCAGCTCAATGCAAACACGTCACAACAATGAGAAATATCCAGACGCAGACGCAAATCGGTCCAGGGAAATAGAAAAGCTGCACTTACCGTCGTGAGATCCGCCGCCGTGGTCCGTAGGTTATCTTTGCCTAACACGTACCTAAAATTCCGTCGAACATCCAGCTCATCGGAGTAACTGTGATCCGTGGATATCAGTAGAATTTGAACTTTGCAATCAGTAGGAATTGTTCAATTTATCAGTCACCCATAAAAATTTAATGAAACAAACGGCCTTTTTCAAGACCAGCAATAAATCTGTACATAAGAGCTCTAGTTTATTTTAAATAAAATTTGTGTAGTAGGGGGGTAATTTTTTTTTTGGGGTTATCTGGGGTATTTTTTGGGAACTGTTTTATCTGGCGTTTTATGTCGTCTTTTTGGATTATAATGGGGTGCAAATCAAAAAATACGTTACAACGTTTATAATATGGTCATTTATTAATGAAATTCAATTTTAATTACATCATTTTATTCAGGTTGAATGTAAGATATATAAATATGCTAGTTGGTTATTAATCGTTACTTGTTAAAAATAGATCAAAGTGTTTAGCCGCAATCAACCAATCACGTGCTCGCTCGCTATGATTATTGAGAGAGACAAGCTGGTACCACTCAATACTCAATATCATTTTTGTCTGCTTTTTTTCTATTCATTCACCAACAGCAGCAAAATACAAAAAAGAAGGGGCATAGAATGCTAATCTAAATGCTTAAGTAAGGGAAACGAATAAAGTTCGACTGCAGTCTGTCAGACTGCTGAGTGATAAAAGGGGGGTGTTCGTTGCGTTATGCATATACTGAAAACGAAATTAACTCATTCCATTATTATATGAAACATTACATGCTGGGTACGGGAGGGTCCACCAGGCTTCATGTTTTTAATATTTCGTGAAAGAGGGCTGGCTCTTCTCCACACTCATTTGGACATCCTCTAGTTGGATGGCCTGTTTTGTGACCGGTTGTATGATCCTGTTGTTGGAAGGAGATTCTCATTAATCCTGGTGATGCACGTGGGTTATGTTGCCTATATATTCACCCAAACCGGTTTTGGCCCTTCATACAATGGCAGGTTGAGTACAATTAGTGGTTATCAATTGATCAAGTCGAACAGCGAGGATAATCCACAGTCTACCGACACATGTCTTGCAGTTTGTGGTAGTTCCATATGCTATCATCATATCATAATCTTTTGTTTCTTCTCCAGCGTTTTGTCAGTTTTCCTGGTTGTTTTAAATTAAGCATAAAATGAATCAAAGTTGCCGCTAGATTAAATGGGTAGTTATACTACGACATCATCATTTTTCGAGGAACTTATCTTTATTTCTGCATCCTAAGTCCATAATATTTGTCTATTTTTTAATGATCTTAATCGCGCTCAGTAAGTTTTTCAGGATTTCCTTAGAATCATTCTCCTCTCAGAGCTCTTTGCAGTATTCCTCTAAAATAAACATGTGATTTTCAATGGTATTTCTCAGAAATATATATAACAGTCCAGAAATTATCTTATAACATTCCGAAAACTCACGACATTCACTCTAAGGTTATTTTCGGATTGTTAATTATTTTCCCAAGAATTCGTTTTCACAGAACTTTCCTTCAGATTCAAAAATCGATTAAATATTTGGCAAACAAAGAAGCTGCCTCTCGGTCAAAACCACTAGAGGAACATCGTAGTGGAATTCTGATCTAGCTAAGCTCGTGTAGAGACGAGGGCACGTAGAATGCTGTTAACAGAACAGTAACACACATATTATCAGAGCTTCAGCGAAAGTGGAGAGAGGATCAATGATCTTGCAACGCCGACTAAAGAGCATACTGATTCAGGACTATTGTTCATCTTCGATTTGAAAACACACATATTACAGTAATCAAAACAAATCTTAAAGTACTTTTTATTATGAATATCAAGAGTTGATTGTATGTTATCCATGTACAATATTATATTAAAAGCAGATTATAAAGAAAACTTTGCAATGATTTTTATTTCACGATATCTAAAAACGAGACATATTCATCTTAGCGCAGCGTAATAGGTTCTTATGTTCGAGCTAAATTGCATCATGGGCATAAAGCTAACTGTTTCACTACTTTCGTGCATTATATAATCGTTTCAGTAAGCTCTGTGCACTAGAATCATACTAACCTTATGTCACAACTTGTTAAAGTTTCGTTCTGCCATATTTTGTGTACGCATGTAATTATCGGCATGTTTACATTCTAAAGGCCGCCGGCAGCGAAATTGTTGTCCACGACTTGTATGAAGTTAAAAGTTTCCCTTGCAGGCCATCTGTTGATTGTTATGGTACAGTTGTCATATTTGTTTTTGTTGTAGGTTTTCTCTTCTACTAATTGACACGATTTGGAGACAATTTGAAATATTCTGTTCATGTTCTCTGCATACACGAGTTCGATAATATTGATTACAATATAATAAAAATACAAGAGATGCTAGGCATCATTGTTCACCTTCAGTGGGATTTAATCATAATGCCTTACTTAAATCTTGGCATGTGCTCGTTTCTATCAAACTATTTTTTTTTTAATCGAATATCAGAGATTAAAATTTTTGTGGACGAATTTGTTTGCAAAAAGTGCACGTTATGGAACAAGAGTTTTTTTTTTTTGTTAAAATGCGCAAAAAAGACCTATGAAGATTTCATCTTACATAATTGAAGTATGCTGAGTTATCTTAGCCTTTAATTGCGAAGGTAAATTAGTGTTTGAATGCTACATTAGGCAAAATTTCACGTACGAGAATCGTGATTTATTCAAACTTTGATTCCGGCAAAAGATCGTACCAAGCCTTAACACCTTGTGGCGATACAATATCTGGATCATTCAAAGTAAGTTTTTGCTGCAATACAAAAAGAAAGAATTAGTCAACATTCGGGTAAATTATTCGGCAAGTTTCATACCATGCCAATCACAGGACTTCCGAAGAATCCCTTCTGGGTGCAAACGGTAATCTCCAGCTCCGAGCTAATCAACTCGGCATTGGAAATGACGTACTCAAAAGTGGCATCAAAAACAGGATCGCAGTTGTCTTTAACTACGTTGGTTTTCCGTTTGGATTCCTTGGAGCGACCAGGAAGTAAGTATAGTTTGACGTATGGATCCGGGATATTCGTTGGATCCTTCTGCGGGATGTTGCTGATTTTATGGATGATCACAAGCAATCGTTGGCGCTGAACACTGAATGCAACAGTAAGTTGAATACGGCCTAGCCCAGAGGAACCAACCGAAGAAGTAGTGCTCGGACTACGGCGCAGCAGTTCTGTTCCATTTTCACTCAGATTAGGGCTTCTCGGAGGAGTAGCCATCATGACCGTATTCAGTGTGGACATGACGAATGGTTCTTCCTGAATAGACATTTGGTCGACAATTCCGGAAGAAGTTGATTTGCGTGATTCCTGTTTCTTGATGGAACTAGCTACAACCGGTTCTGAAGTTGTTGACTCAGCCACTGTGGCAGGGGCCGTTCTGATGGAACTAGACCTTGAAAGAGTACTTTCTCCCCCATAACCTTCCGAAGTTGAAGTTTTGTCAGAAACAGCATCATCGACTACGTCACTAGCCCGCTTCAAAATACGTAGCGACAAGGACATAATAATTTTAGTTTCTGGACCCGATTTTTGCAACTGGAAAGGCTGGGACATTAGCTCCAGATTCTTCTTTTCCATCAGTGTGCTGAGAATGAACATCAATGTGCCCAATGTGTTGCCAGTCTTCTGATCAACCACTTTCAACTGCAGCGTATCGTTGTCAGGGTTTCCCACCAAGAAGGTGAACCCTTGCTCCCACACCGGAGCGTCAGTCCTCATTTGGATGCTAGTTTGCTCGGTTTTCTTGCCAACGCTCAGGATCATGTATGGATCTGGCTGGCTTTGCTGACGTGCTTGCTGTTTTATTAAAATGAAAAGAGAAGAAATTTCGATTATTATAGATTCCCCAAATGCAATTCTGACATCATTTCATTAAAATAATTGATCGTTCTCAAACGCTATGCATGCGTCTTTAAAAGCCGCTCCGAGGAATCCAGATCTAGTGGTATGTGAAAAAATATGGATCCTTGTAACTTTGATAAACGGACTCGTTTGAAACACGCAAAAGACTTCTACAAGGCGATGGTCTTTCCTCACTCCTGTTCAACATTGCACTAGAGAAAGTGTTATTAAACATGTTAGGCACAATCTTCAATAATTCCAGACAGTTGATCTGCTTCGCTGACGACGTGGATAGCGTTGTTGCAGGCGGTGGCGGAGAAGCTTAGCAGGCTGAGACGTGAAGCATAAAAGGTTGGATTAAAGGTGAATATGTCGAAGAGAAAGTATCTGGAACCGAACGTGATAAAGCTCACATAGGCAGAAGTGTGATAAACGACGGAGATGAGTTCGAGGTGGGGGATTAATTTGTGTAACTCGGTTGATGACGTCTGATAACAACTGCAGCAGAGACATTCGGACGCATTATTGCCAGAAGTCGTGCTTATATTATGGACTCCACAAGACCCTAAGGTCTAGTAAACTTGCTCTGTATTAAGTGTACCATGTGCACTTTGCTCATAAGACCGTCAGTTCTCTATGGGTACGAGACATGGACAATGCTCGAGGAGGACCTGCAATTACTGAGGGTTTTAGAACGACGTGTGCTTAGGATCATCTTTGGTGGGCATATGAAAACGGTGTATGGACGGAAATAATGAACCACGAGCTTGCGCAACTCTATGGTGAATCCAGTATCCAGAGAATCGTTAAAGCAGGAAGGGTACAATGGGCGGGACACGATATAAGACTGCCAAACAACAATCCCGCAGAAATGGCGTATCCGGGAGTGAGCTAGGTGTTTAGACCAAGTGGACCAAGATCTAGGAAATGAGGGATGCTCTCAAAATTGGCGAAAAGTAGCCACAAACCGAGTTATTTAGTTACCACAAATTGTACAGCAGAGCAGTTCCACACATCAATAGAATAATATATATCTCGTGAACGATTTGTTTGATCGAGATGCTGTCTTTGAAGAAGCTGCGGACAAGTATTGTGCCTTCCAAGAAAAAATATACACTGTAAAAAATTATATATATTTTTTCAAAAAAATCAAAATTATCAAAAGAAAATTAAAATTACTCAAATTGCATTTTTTTTTAAATTATTTTTTTACATTAATTTTGTATTTTAGATAAAGTAATACCTACTGACATTGTGCATTTGCTGGGCAAATCATAAACAAAAAAGTTATGAATTATTGAAGGAATTATTATTTTGCAAAATACCACCTACAGTTATCGAATATCTTTGAAATAGTGTTAATATTAAAAAACATTAAATTTACAACAAAAAAGCTCATAATGCTTAAATGCCCAAAGTTGTTATTTTTGCGATACTCGTAGGTTAAAATTCAATTATCGCATAATTTGAGCAATTTTCGCTTTATTGAGATGTTATTCGTGAGTGTTCAATCTTGAAAATATTTTTAACAAAAAGCCCAATTAGTTTCCTTAAACTTTGCTGTTCTCAGTTTTTTAATCATACGCATGAGCTAAGATATAATTAATTATGAGTAAGAGACGGTATGGGAAAAGTGTATTTTTCTGTTTGGTCCCATATACGGCTAGTTAGTTTAAATGGGCCTCCCTTAGCTCAGTCGGTAAAGGCGCAGCTACAAAGCAAAACCATGCTGGAGTTGGCTGGGTTCGATTCCCGGTCCGGTCTAGGAATTTTTCGGGTTGGAAAATTTCTCGACTTCCCTGGGCATAGAAGTATGATTGGACTTGCTTGCCACACAATTATACCAATGCAAAAATGGTACAGGCATCGAAAACTCTCAATTAATAACTGTGGAAGTGCATCAGAACACTAAGTTGAGAGCACACAATAAGCTAATATGTGATATGCGATAAGCTTGAAATGCGAAGAAGAAGAAGAAAAATGTTTCGAATTCGGGAAAAGCGCAGAGAGTAGTTTTAATCATTATATTATCCTATCAAAGCTACCCGCATTATCAAAGATACCCCGTTTTACGGTTTTCTTAATTTCAACTCCGCCTCTAATCATCAAATTTGTGCTTCAAACAGCGACCGTAAAACCTGGTCAAGTAAACAAACTGTCGATATCACTATGATGATGATGATGATGGTCCCACCTCTTACCCCTACAAAGGTTTGAGCTGGACGAGTTATCTTTAAAATAATTAAATATAAACATTTTAACCAGGTTTGCAAACAAAATCCAGCTGGTTACAATTACAGATATAAATGTCCTGTTAAATATGCTATAGGCATCAACCAAAAACATTCAAAGGTGTAACTAGTTATCAAAAGTCCAAGTATAGTCCTCGACAATACTTCCATTTACACGTGACCTGGGATTTACACGTTTAAGCTTCCGCAGTGCCAGGACTATATCCAAGGAAACGACTTCCAGCCAATCCTTTACTAATTCAAGGCTTTTGCCACAATTTCCACGTATTAGTCATTTATACCTGTATTCCGCGCGCGAGGCTCAAACCATTGTAGACTACTCAAAGCTATTTTTACTATTACTACTACAAAATCAAAAAACTAAAAATCCATCATCACCATCGAGGCAAACCATGTAGTTTTTTGTATATGCTACACAAATTACTAAAATGTCTTTATGACAGTCTCCATACAAAATAATCCGTTAGTGATAACTTTGTCAAGATACATAATTTATCCATTCATAAAAATTTAACTGCTCAATAAACAGCTTTTACATGTGAAATGCAGCGTCTCTTGAATTCTGTAAGTGTAGTTGCACGCTTGATGTTCATGGGCATGCACAGCAAAAAAATAATTTTGATATCATGTCAAAGTGGATGCACTACAATCATGTCGAAAATATGGTGTAATATTACTTGCTAAAAAGGACAAAATTATCATTAATACAATGCATGAACTGACATTACGCTGCTTTTACTGCATTTGTTTATTTGTGTGGTCATAAAAATTACATGAAATTTTCGACATGATTGTAGTGCATCCACTTTGATGTGATATCAAAATTATTTTTTTGCTGAGTGGGGTTTATCGGCACCGAGAAATGCAACTGCTGCTGTGTCCACAGCTGAAAGCGAACTGCAATCCTGTAAGTCTATGTTGATCCTGCTAAGTACTCGAAAATAATTCGGACTTCCGAGATCATCCCAAAAAATAATATATCCACAAATGTTTAGCTTTTTGTACTTTAACAGCTTAATTCTAACAAAAAGTTTCTTAAAATAAACCTGAAAAAAATTGGAAATAAACGGGATAAGTTTCCTAATCAACTATCAGATTTAAAACCCAAGTTATTTATTATTTGTGATGTGTTGAACTCTTTGCAAAAGCAATTTTATGGACTGGTGGATGTAAGACACACATAAGCATAATTGAATGTGTTTCAATGTTTGCGTTTAAGGCTTTAAATGACCGCAATTCGAAAACACGCATCATGTTTTTAAAGGTTAATTTCAAAGATGAATTTTCGAAAAGAAGTAGGAAAGAGCGTTACCTCGTCGTAATCGCCCATTTACGTTCTATCGAGCAGAAATCATCAATAATGTCAATGATTTCACCATGCACAAAACAATAATACGTTTATTCCGATCCGTTAGTTTATAAGCCACAACATGAAGCGTATTACAGCGCATTGTATGAATATTTACACTCATTGTTCTTAAAACAAAAGAAGCGTTCCTAGCGAATCCCCCCTTTCTACGTTTATGAGTAAGACGAAGAAAATCTAATGGCGTTTCAATGCGTTAGGACGGAATTGAAACTCGTAGGATGAATTTAGAATCAAGAAGCAGAGTTAGATTTTTAATAATATCTCAACATTGTTTGACTCTTTATCAAATCCAACGGCACGTATGGAAAGGTGAATAAATTTAGAAGTTATCTTTGATAAAAACATTCCATGTTTTGTTCAAACCCTTTCAAAAAGAGAGGTAAAGTGCGAGATGTGCTTAGTAGGACGGAAATTAGATCAAAAACCCTATCTGCTTTTGTAAACAAAGATTCAAACGTCAGTTTGTCGAGATTTTAGGCTCACCAACGCATACCATCATGTTGAGGAAACTTTATTATACCTGATGGTGGTGTTAATATGTGTGGGTGTGCTAAGAATTTCGAAATTTTAACGTTTGAAACATTCTTGACAATAGCAGATACGTCTTTTTCAAACTTCATCCTTGATTTGTCTAGAAATACGTACACTGAGGCAAATAGACTTAAGAATTTCATAAGGCTCGACTTATGAACGACACATATGTATTTCATAAGCACGACTTATGAAAGATTTTCGTCTAACATGAGGTAGCTCTTCTACGCCATTATTCATTCCATTTTCCCAAGCGTCGACAGACGAGTGGTCCAGTAACAAGACCCGTAATCTCAACGTCCATGGTTCGGTTCCAGTACACTGAGGCAAAAATAGACTTAAGAATTTCATAAGGCTCGACTTATGAACGACACATTCGATGCCTTTAGCCGTTCCATTTTCCCAGGTGTTGACAGACAAGTGGACTAGACACAGTACCCGTAATCTCAACGTCCATGGTTCGGTACCAGTCTGCTGTTCCGGTAAACTATTTTTTTGTCGACATTATTTTTCATAAGGCAAATCTATGAAATTCATATCGATTTTTTGTGGCTGAAATTCACAATTGGTTCTTATGGAATTCTAACGTTCTTTTGCCTCGGTGTATGCTCAGTTTTATTATTTTTTTTTGTTGACATTATTTTTCATAAGGCAAATCTTTGAAATTCACACCGATTTCTGGTGGCTAAAATTCATAAGTGGTTCTTATGGAATTGTTACGTACTTTTGCCTCAGTGTAATGGTCTAACTGGCATACTCAGGTTTCATGGAGAGGTTGTTTCGATAGTAACGGTCATAGGAGCACCATGGACTGAGGTTTGACCCAAAGGAGTAGCATCAAACAACTGTGCAATAATCCATGGAAGACATTGTAGTTAACGATCGATTTTATCACAACATCAATATTTACGGCCTAAGACTAGTATGTGCAAGGTAAACATAATTTAAATCAAATTATCAGTGAAACCATATACTTACGGGCAGATTTTTGGCCGAATCAATGAACACCGTCAGCAGAGCAGTGCTCATCGAGGTAACACGCAACAGTTGCGTTTCCTCCAGGGCAGCCTTCAGATCATTCTTGTCAGCGCTCAGAGTGAACCAAGTCAACCTCAGGTGCACCAATCCATGCTTGGCTTGCTCGAGTGTCAGCCACTGTAAAATGAAGATTATTGAATCCATCCAAACCGCTGAATGTCAAACAATACTTACGGTATCAATTTCTCCATTTTTGGTAACACTGCTTATCTCGACGGTAGCTCTGCAAGATGACAGGTACGAGAAAGGAAATCGACATTAGTAACGGCGTGTGAGTTCCTACTAAAACAAAGCTTATCTGCATGCCTATTGAAACTACACCGGAAGCATGGAAACATACATTGTTCAAATTAAGCTAAATAAAACTGTATTGAATTTAAAAGCTTCAAGCAATTCAAGCTGATGTTTCAATTGGTCTTGTCATCGGGAAGGGTACAATCGTTATACGAAGAAAAGGGCTTGACTAAAGGATATCTACAGAATCAATCCTAGGGGGTGAATATAAGGTGGGTCTACCGTCTACCTTCAAATTATAAAAGTACTGTTTGCACGAAAAAATAAAACAAAGATCGATTGAATTGATATGAACACTTTGAGAGCAAACCGAAAGAAGTATAGAATCTTAAAGATAGGCGTGAAGTAAAATCGATCGATTGAAAACAGTTTCAGTACAAGAACGAATCATTGTTGTTATTGTTATTTATAGAAGCGGGAATAAATGAACATAACACTTGTCTTCGAACCTGCCAAGGGGGTCGTGGTCGCCGGTTCGATCCCAGTCGAATAACTTTAAGCCAATCAAGGTTTGATGAGAAACGTCAACACAAGCCTGCAGGTAGATCACAGAGTGATTTGCAAGATTTGTTGTTTGGTTCGTTTGGGTTATGGTCAATTTTGAGTTGATCATCGTCCAGATTCAGGTGGGATGTATTTTCAATATTTTGGTAGAATTAATTGGGATTGGCGGGGTTTGTTAGTACACAGACGCGTTGGAGAGAAAAGACAAAGAACGAGAAATAGAATTTGATTAGAGATGGGTGTAAATTGCAGAAAAATATGCCAGTGAGGTAAGTACATGTTGTTTATGTTCAATAGTGGCAGTGCTTGAAGCAAACGTTAGGTTTATACTATCAGAAATGTGTTGAACAATTGTTACGATCAGTTACTTAAAAAGTACATATTTACAAATTGCTTGACAGACTGTTATGTGTCACATAGAACAATTAACATATTATACCTAATTCTAAAAAAACATAATCATCAAAAAAATTTTAGCACTTGTTTTCAATGATGTCGAAAGAAATGAAAAGACTTTTTTTACTCAGTGTCAGTCGTTTATCTTGATTTTAAACTCGTAGTAGGATTATTTCGCCTTTTGATCCAAAGCATACAAATTTACAGCTATTTGAAGCCATACTGATGTACCTTGTATTGAGGGGCGTTAGGAAGATGATTTAGACAAATTCCCCAAAAGATTTCCATAGATCATTTCATTGCTCAAGCTACGGCAAAAATGTATGAAGTAAAGCTGATATTTCGTGTTCATACTAGAAAACTAAAAAAAAAAATGAATTTGGTTATAGGTTGGATTTTATCACTCATTAAGATAATGAAGAATTTTAATGCTTGCATATGTTCTAAGCTGCCATACGTCGGTCGTGTGTATGCTGACTGCTGAGGATTCGATGTGACGAAATATTAATTAAATGGAAGTGAAGATTTCAGGACACTAATTTCCCGGCAATGAATAACATTCCTGTAATAACGCACTCTTATCTATTCTAAGATTTCAAACAAAATTCTTTTCAATGTTTCGTTATGGTTTAGTATGAGAAAGAAAACTGCCACATGGAACTCGTAAATGGTTGGTTGGATAGCGGATAACGTCAAAGCTAAAGGATTATCAGTAAAGAATGAAAAGCTAAAAACCCATCACCACCTGCCAAGATAGTCGTCATTCTGGACACCTGGGAAGCCCGGATCCCAGTCCCAAAGGTTGAGTTCGATTTCCTGCCCTAACGTTGCGTTTACCTCAGCCTACCGGAAAATCAAAAGATTAACCAAATCTATTGTGAACAATTGATGATTTGATTCAGATATTCTGTACATTCGATGGGAGGACGGACGGTCTGATGAACAACTGTTATATGATTAGCGGTAAAGCATTAGTATAAATTACTATTCAGCACCAACACATGCACTCTTGATATGGACAAGAAGTATTTTATAAGTGGTATGGAATGTCTCTTTTAAAATACTTTTAATTACCCACAACAAGCATAATCCTACCTGCACAATAACGTTACAACGTATTACTGGTTATCTACAGATAAAACATAATAAATGACCAGCCAACATATTTACAGTTAGAACAAAACCAAAAGCAAACTAGCCAATTCCCAAAAACGTTAGAACCAAGACCAAAACATGGCTGACGACAGCTCCTGATAACGTTTACTTAATCATAGGTACAAGATAACTTAACTATAAAAAATAAAAGCTTATAGAATGCAAAACCAATCTCACCTTCCCAGTAATTCATCGTCACCACCGGTGTCTTTGTCGTTGACAACGAATTGCAATTGTTGGCCGCTTTCCGCATGGATAAACGCCTTTTGATTTTATGATCATACAGTTTTGATGTGGTGATCATCGATGTTGTTTGTGTTGTTGTTGAATCGGAAGAAGAAATGTGTTGGATTGTTGGATGGTTGTAGGTGATGGTTGCGATTCGGTAGCAGTAGTGGTCGTAAGGAAGGGGCATCATATTGCAAATAAGACAAGAATAAATAAAAGAAACAACTGGTAGCTCCCTTCAGCAAGGGCATAGTTTACCTGATAAATGAAATTCCCCACCGAAATAAAAATGTAAATTTGAAATGGCTCACAAACGCATCAGCTTTGGAAGTGGCTTGATAACTGACAAGATAATACAAACTGATGAGCAAACGTCTTTTGTACAAAAATTGATAATCAATCAATAATATAAACAGCAAACAACAGAACAAAGCTTTTAAAAAATCATTGCCACACAACCAAAACTTACGCGTTTTCTAGTTCCGTTGCCATGACTGAAGGTAATAAAGGGTTCATAAAACTAAAAAATATATAAAACAAAATAAAAATGCTCGTGAAAATCATAAAAAAGTCTTTTCAGGAAGTTGGCTAGAAAACTTAACTTATGCACTTGTGTTTTAGCTAATGTTTTATTGCAGAGTGCTGCTTGTTGCAATGCATAAATAAAGGCCTGCACACATTACATCTGTTAGCGATACGTTTCGAAAAAAAAATCTATTGTTTACCTGTTAGTTTTTCCAAAACGGATGTAATGTGCATGAGCTTTGAGATTATGCTACTGATTAAGTTGTTCAACAAAGTTAATGAAATGTCAACCTCTACGCCTCAACTCCAAATGGAGATTAATTCCCTTGTGACGACGAGCCCCTGCCTCGTGCTAGCTATGAATGGGTTGTGAATTCTGTGTTTGTTTGCCGAACTTTCAACAGACTAACTATTCGGTAAATTTCATGCCTCTCGATTTATGTTTTTCGCTTTATATGACAAATGTTGCAGCTCTACAAGTTTGCAGCAACAGAACTGTAGCCACGTACAGTTGGTTCAACAATTTAAAAATAATAGATTAGAGAAATAATAGAAATATTGATACTTTGCGCTTTAATACACAGATAAAACATCTGAATTTTAATTATGAAGTTAAAAATCCTGCGTGTAACTGCATTTCATTTCCCAATGAACCAGCATCGTACAAGAAATGTTTCATACAAAGATGGACTATTGCATGAAATATCTGAAACATGTCATGAAATGTCTCAGAACATTACACAATTTATAAGGTAGACTTTATGCTTTATGCTCTTTTTATGTGCATCATATTGAACAGAAATTTACAGTACTTTTTCGAACTGTATATGCTTTGTACTGTCGCTTTTAAGCTGTAGTAGCAAATCAAACGTATTATTGATTTAAGCGCGTTGAAATCATTGATAATATTTATGTGTTCTACTCGATAGAACGGAAATAGGCGATTACGACGAACTAGATGTCTAACCTAGTTATCGGGGCTAGTTGGAAGACAAACCGGATAGGAAACTAACACCGATCAATGAGACTCTTTCACAACTATGATATCTTCAAAGAATTTGTTTATTAAATTTAGATTCTAAAAAATACAATTTTGATTAAATCAAAATTTTCCGATGATCTAAAATTACATAATGCATTAAATTATTGAAAAAAATCTTTTCAATTATTTTCCAAAGCAGTTAGAGTGGAGAACGGCATTAAAACCATACAGTGATCGGAAGATCTCAAAAACACAAGCCTTGCGAATTTCAACTCCTGCAAAATTCACCAATGGCATTTCAAGTTCAAATAATAATCGGCTGTATATTTTATAATTTTTCAGTACTCTCATTGTTTATGTATGTATAATTTCATTATTTGATGGAAAAAAGCAGTTCTACGCAAAATGAAGAATCGAAAAAACTTGACCTTTTCCGATTTGCATAAAACTATGCATAATTGTTTGTTATGGAGCATTTCCAGCCTATAACGTCAACCGGTTGGACATGAGTGTTTCCGATTTGAATGGAATATGACTCATGTGTTCGCTGCTACCAATGGTTGCAATTTTCATTTAAAGATTTTTTCTTCACAGTAACTTTTGAAAGAGGGGGTATTAAAAAAATTGATTGTATTTTTTTTTTAATCATAACAGTAAAACTATTGTTCTGATCAAAATAACATCTTTGAAGAAGTTGTAGGTAATCTTTGAGAAAAAAATACACTGATAGAAAAAACTAAGTAATTTCATATATACTTTTTCCAAAAAGACAAGATTTATACTTACAATGTTGTCCCAGACGTCATTGCAATCAGAAATGCCGTTTCTGTGCTACAATTTTTTGAAAAATATTAAGGATGCCATTTCGAAAAAATTTCGAGATACAAATTGTTGAATTTTAATAAAAATTTGAATATTGCTCATAACAAAAAATATAACAAAATTTCATACAAATCGGAACTGGAACTGCTAAAAACTAAAATTTTATAGGTGGACGGAAGTATTTTTTACCGCTTCAGGAAGTCATTATACTATTTCTCGAAAAGTTAATTCATCGGTTTTCGTAACTTACATAATTTAGATATTTCGTTCGAAACGGATTTACTTATTCACTCGGTTTACTACGCGGATGTATCTACGCGCACACGTCACATCATTTTTTCTATAACTATCTTGAAACAATACATACGGAATCCAGTGTTCAAGCGGCCAACATAGGCTAGTCCTTCTGCTGTATTGTCAAAGATAGAAGCAAAATGTATTCAATTGGGTCAAGTCTTGAAAATTAAACTGTCACGCAGTTCCAGCTTGAAACCAAAAAAAAAAATTATTAATTCATTAGGTCCGAGCTACATGTTTTTTTTTTCCAAAACAAATAAGCAGGACATCTCATATAGGGGAATTTACGTATTCTCGTCTATCTATGCAGCGTCTGCACTTCTACTAGCATTTTCTCAGCGCCACGCACATATATGATGTGTCTGTTTGTTTACATTCATCTGCTGCTTGCTTCTCTATCCATTCCAATCGACAGAATTTTTCAAAACGTTTTGAAAGCGTTTTTACAACGCTCCAAACTTCTCAGGTGAGTGTGACTATTGTCGGCAGCCTCTTTTTCTTCGGCAACCTTCCCATTAGAACTGCGTGTTAACCAGCTGTTCTATTATCGGCAACTCGAAATCAACCCGATTTTGTAGTGCGTATGCTTTATTTGAAGAAAAATGTAGCATTACTGGATTGCTCGATCGTTCAAATATAATCAGATTGAAGCTAAAAGGCTAAACAATCGTTTGGACACATTCAGGGAAGTGCGTTGATGGGAAAACATAGTGAAATTAACGTTTAAATTTTGGTTGCCGAAAACAGTCAATGGGTGCCGAAGCCAACATTTACCCTATATACTTCAAGCCGCTTGTGGAAACATGTTGGCCCAGGTTTGAAACTTACAGTACTGGACAGAATAAAGTATGCCCCACGTCATAATGTACAACGTGCAATATCTGTTTCGACACTAAATATTTACGTTTGAAATTTGTGGGAAAATTGTTGTAATTTTAGTATATTTAACAGATCTTATACCGTCACATCCTTTGAATGCATATTTATTTAGTACTATTGCATAATTGATGAAATTGTCTTTTTTACCTGGACAGAATCAAGTACGTACCAACACAAATATTTAGCTCAGTGTATTGCGTTTGAATTGAATCTCATCCCTTCAATTGTATGGAAACGTCAAAACATGTAATCTGTTATTGATTTATCATAACCTGTGCGCGATTCAATCCGATAAAATGTAAGATAAACAAATTTCCTCCCAAATCCGAAAACTTACCGTTACAGACCATCAAAAAGGTCCCTCAAAACAAAAAATGAAGCATTTGTCAGCGTTGCAGACAGGACTGGTACAGGAACAAAGCGGAAGACTGCAGTCAGCGATGGTCGCCGAATTTGTCGAGAAGTGACCAAAAACTCGTTTGTCACCAGCCGTGTTATTCGAGAAAACACAATTTTAAACATCTCCGAACTAACTGTCCGCATAAGGCTGCAGAATAATGGTTTTCAACGTGGTTTGGCCGCACGATTACCATTGATTCGAAAAGTGAACAGGTTTGTTTACCTCCTTTTCAATATTCATTTAAGAATGATTATGATTTTTGTAGGATCAAGCGTCTTAACTTTTCCCGGAAATATGTCGACAAGCCATTGGAGTTTTGGAAAAAGGTTCTCTGGAGTGATGATAGCAAGCTTGGGCTCTTTGGGTATAAACAGCATGCGCTAGTTTGGACAAAACTACACACTTAGAAATAACTAATTTTACACGTGACGGAATCCATCTTTGACATAAACTATGAGACGTAAACAAACGTGTCATGTAATATTAAGCGCTCCGAGACTGAAAAGTTCGTTGCTCGACGAAAAGTACGTTTGATTGAGCTATATTTCGCGTCTGTTATGACTCAAATTTATGTCAAAATTGACGCTCGTATATGTCACTCTCAGAGCACCTAAATTTACATGATTTTTTTCTAAGTGTGTAGGAGAGAGACTTCATCCAGGAGATCCAATCGGTAGAAGTTTTCAAAATACAAAAACAAATCATTGGTTAATCATCGATGATCATTAATGCGTTTCTCGAGATAGTATATGTGTATGATGATTAATTTCGAATGTTTAATTACTTCTACCGGTTAGATCTCCGTATAACTTTGCAAAATTCATGTTCAATGATGATAACGGTACTACTCGGTATATCTGTCATAAGTATAGTGCATTTTGTTGGTTCCTGGGAGGGAGAAGCAGACTCGAAAAATATGAACGTCAAAAGGGGGTGATGCATATAGTATGTCACGCTGTAAAGAGGGTGTAAGATTCTATGACATGCTTTTTTAAGTGTCCCTATATTAATTTCCACCGGTGTTTGGTTTAACGCAACGGTAAAAAATCTCTGAAGCCATCCAGCATCATTTGAATCTTTTAAAACTGTCCACGTGGAATGTGGACAGCCCCTAGTTAACTTTTAAAGTGTCCGGAATTGTTGACAAAATGTCCGGATTTCGATTCATTACGGTTTATAGATTATTTTTTTTTCAAAGAATCCACTGAAATGTAGAATCAAATATGACTGCAGATTAATAGCTCTGCTTAGAATACAAAGTGACTTTCAACCTAAAACAATCTTTTCTCCAATGAGCTAAACCGACGACTTTTTCCTAAATAAACACACCTTCAACAACAACATATAAAATTAACTGGCAAACCAACAAACGGCACATCTAATCATTGCATGCAAACTAGCCACAAATCTCTCAACTTTTACAATGGCTTTCCCCACGAGAGGGTGAGATAAAATCTATGGTTCAGATTCGTTAGTCCAGGGCATGGTGTTAATTAGTCTCAAACGGCCGTTGTTCATTTGATAAATAAAAATCACAAGCAACGTATGTAATACGCCCTACATGTACTAGTGTGTGTAGGTGTGCAGATGTGTGTGAGCCAAACGGGAGGTTAAAATGCTATATTTGGTATAGCAAAAATAAACAAAACTTGTGTGTTTTAAGCTATTTACCTCGCACCAGTAGTCCCACTTGGGGTTGACCGTATTGTCGATTGTCTGTGTGCGGAACTGCTGAGCTCCAACGGACACGATAGCATACGGATCGGACTTGCCCTTTCCCAATACACTAATGTCCTTCTTCATCAGATCCTTTGCTTCGACGACGTGGATTCGAAGAACACCCTAGAAGAAAAATTCAAGTGAGAAAAATAATGTCATTTCAACGTAACCTTGGTGCTTAAATAGGCTGATAAAAGACAAATTAATTAACAGCATAGATAGCTTACCTCGGGCTCTGGCATTTTAAGCGAAAGCGCCGGAACACCATCATTCAGAATGATTGGCAACTTGTTCGGTAGCACCATGATAGCAGCAACCTGCTCCACAATAATCTTTCTCAATATATCGCTCAACCCGGGCATATCAAGCAAATCAACCACTCCGACCAGGTTGAAATCGATATTCGGATTGTTGAGGAAGAAGATCTGTAGGCCTCCAACAAGAGGCATCTGCGAAATGAGTGGCTTCATTATGACTCGCACAGTGCCGTGGATTTGGAAATCCTTAATTCCACCCCGTAATCCACTCAACGAAAAGTTGATATCACAGTCGCCGGCGTAGAACAGGTCCAAATCCATGATGATTTCATTGCGTGCGACGTTCTTTTCATACACCTTCACTCCGCCGATTCGGGGAGGCTGAAAATATACGCGAGGGAAACAAACGTACCATTAACCGTTTGATGAGCCAGACAAGTCTTTACATTTTCATTCGCAGAAAAACAACTCTTACGATTGTTCCCAGAATCATACGGTCGAATTTGAAGCCGTTCAGCTTGTATCCGGCCAATGCCTGTTGAATATTTGGCTCGATGGACTCCTTGATGAGGTTCTTTGCGAAGAAGTTTGCATTGGGCCATACTTGTTTCAGGATCTATGGGAGATGGAAGAGGGTAGGGGAAATTAAAGAGACAATGTTCTACACAAACCACCGGAGGGAATGTTTGCAATCCAAACGTACCTTATTGAGCCACTCACACCGTTCAACGTCTGGGAAGAATACCTACGAAAATGGGTGCATAATTAGTACTATGCTTATATGTGGTTCGCTGCAATATGAGATGATTATTGTTGAAAAAATGAACTGCACAGATGTATTCAAATAGATTATTTAACCCGCTGGCTACCGGGCTATTAATTAAAAATCTAAAATGCTGCTAACGGAGTATTACTTATCCGATTTGTTTGAAACATTTTTACGGTCACTTAACTTGTTCACTTTATATTAAACTTACAAAAATATATTTGAGACTTTGTGGCCGGATTTATTCCGGTAGGTTTTTGGGTCATGAGGGTTAAATATCATGCTACCTTCCTATTATCGTTGTTTTACCTGCTGGTAACATGAAGCTTCTAATCAACAACTGGTGTGCCAAATTAATCATAAACAGTAGTGATGCTCTGAGGCATGTCTGACCAGATAGGCCACCTGAAGAACATACCCGGTGCCGTTAAAAAAGGGGTCATTTCCGTAATTTATGGAATCTTTGATGACGCTTTTTCAGGATTATGCATTTCTTGTTCGAAATATGTCCAAATAGATTCAAAGTGTATGTGTTGATCATTCATAACGAATTGTCATGTATATCCGATCTAGGATCTTCAAACCGTCTTGGAGTTCAGATTATTTGTTAAACTACTTCATCCAAGACTGGGATAATTTCTGTAGCATCTAAATTTGTCCAAAAAGATTCAATGTGTCTATGTGGATTATGCACGATCTACTGTCATGAATACCAGATATTCTAGGTTCTCCAAATTGTCCTGGAGTTCAGATGGTTTGTTCAATTAGATCTACAGACATAGTTCCAGTCTTGATCGATATAGTAGATAACATCATCTGAATTACTGGATGATTTTGAAAACCTAGAACATCTGATATACAAGACAATAGTTCGTGCAACATGCACATAGACACATTGATTCTGTTTTTTTTTTTTAAATATTGCATACTACAGACATTCACCCAATCTAGTAGGACACATCATCCGAACTCCAGATCAATTTGAAGAACCTAGAGTATCTGATATGTATGGCAATCCACATAGACACTTTGAATCTGTTTGGGCATATTTCGATCCTACAGACATTGTCAAAGTCATGGTTGATCTAGTAGAACACATCATCTGATCTCCAGGACAACTTGGAACACTACAGACATTGTACCAGTATTTGATGATCTAGTTGAACAAATCATCTGAATTCCAGGACACCTTGGAGAACCTAGAACTTGTTATGTAAATGGCAATAGATTGTGTATGATCCACACAGATACTATGAATTTGTTTGGACAAATTTCTATACTAAAGACTTTGTCCCAATCTAGGATAGGTGTAGTTGAACAAATCATTTGAACCCTACGATGGTTTGGAGAGCCTAGAACTTAGATCGTACATGATCTACATAGACACTTTGAATCTATTTGGACATATTTCGATACTAGACATTCCATTCTGCATTCCAGGACGATTTGTAAAACCTAGAAAATCTGATATACTTGACAATAGGTTGTGCATGATTCACACAGACACTATGAAACTATTTGGATATATTTCGATGCATCAGAAATTGTCCCAGTCTTGGTTGATCTACTAGAACACATCATCTGAACTTCAAGATAATGTGAAGATCCTAGAACATCTGGTATACATGGCAATATGTCGTGTATGATCCACATACCGTATGCGTGATAATATTTGCACCATTGAGCAATGACAAAATTAAAAAAATTCTCAAAAATTTCGTTTTCGAGTTTTTTTATTTATATTATTTTATTTTATTTTTATTTTATTTATTCATCCCACTTGTTTCTCTGAGTCTTAACCTATGTTAATCATCGATCGAGTTTCCACTTGCTGCAATTACGGCCTCCACATGCTTCCGGAATGCACGGCAGGTTCTAATAATGTAGTCTGGATCCATTTCTCGCCAGATACGGGTCAATTTTTATCTGAAGCTTGCTGTACTCGAGTGGCGTTTAGAACAGGCCTTGGCCTTCATGACGCGCCATATTGAGTAATCCAGCGGATTAAGATCGGGGCTGGATGGCGGCCACATATCCTTCGCCCAGAACGGAAGATGTTCCTGCAACCACTTCTGAGTGCGGTTCGAGGTGTGGCACGGAACCTCATCTTGTTGAAATACAACATTTGGCTTCGGACCGTACTGTTCTTTGATCCACGGAAGAACATACTTACTTAAAATCCCGATGTAGACCTCCGTGTTGACCTTGTCGCCTTCTGGAATGAACATCGGGTCCATTTTTTGCCATCGGAAGCCCCCAATCTAAACACCATAACGCTAGCAGGATGCTTGTTCAGATACACGTTTTTGTGCTCGTCTTTTACCGGAAGGAAGAGAACTAATATACCGGTTGATTCAGGAATTTGATACGGGATCGACGGTAAACATGCTCTCGTCGATGAACAGGATTCTCTTAAGGAAGTTCAAGATTTTCTTGCATCGTTCGACTCGTAGCTCCCGGATGTGGTTGGTAATCATGTGAGTTTTTTTTTTCATGCCCTCGACTGCGCCCCACAATCTTTCTTTACGATCTTCCGTGCCGTAAATTCACGGATCCCGTGTTCCTTTTGCCATTTTTCTTATTGAACGCACTGGATTCACCAGAATCTTCGTTTTGATAGCAGCGATAACCCTCGGAACCCGAGCTGACCTCGGACGACCTGTGGCCACCTTCGCGGATAGTTGTCCTTTCTTTTCTCGGTTTAAAACCCTTTTGACGGTCCACCGGGACCCTCTAACGGCGATTGAAATGTCTTTTTGCGACATTTGCGCGTGGGACAAATCACGAATACGCTGCCAGTCATGGTGCAACTGTCAAACTTTGTAAATCATTTTCTTTTATACACAGCCTACTACGGTATGAGCTATAGGTTACGTGCATGCAAAGAAAACCAAGGCATTGAATGCACAGGTGAAACGGGAACCTTATTTGTACGATGGTGCAAACATTATCACGCATACGGTAGACACTTTGAATATGTTAAGACATGTTTCGAACAATAATTGCATCATCAAAGAATCCTTAAATTTGGAAATCACCACTTTTTAGAAGGCATCGAGTATGCATTACCTAGCGTGGAATGCTGGATTCATATGAAAATTCAATTATATTATGATTGGGAGTCATAAGAAGCAACTAATTAGTCTACATGGCTTGCGAACAGCTTCTCAGAATTGATCCAAATCAACCACATTGATAAAATTGAGGGATGATATAAAAATATCTAACAGCTAAAAAACTATTGCCGGCGCCGGTGGTGTAGTGGTAAGCGTGACTGCTTTCTAACACCCCGATGGGTCTGGGTTCAATCCCAGCCGAGGTCGGTGGGATTTTTCTGAGGCATAAAAATCTCTGGTCACGTCTTCCTTCGGAAGGGAAGTAAAGCCGTTGGTCCCGGCCCATGTGTGTTGAATGGGTGCGATATCCTACGCAGGTGTGGAAGCTGCCTTCCTGCACATTCGATTGCCGTTAATGGATGGCAATCGATGTCCGTCGGTGATTGGCACTAGATTGCGGAACAGAGACCGACGTTAAATAAAGAAAAGAAGAGCTAAAAAACTACATAATATACAGTTGCGCTGAAAATAGAGTAAACGAATACGGATACAGGAAACCGTTCCCGGAAAATTTTATCTATCAATAAATCAAGAGAAATTTCGAAAGGTGCTACCGGAGGAAACCAGAAGCACCTTGGAGGAAGTCAAAAGAAACCTCCAGGAGAAGTTGATAGTCTATAGAAATATCCCAATAAAACTGGAACCGCGGAAAGATGGAAGAAAGTTCCGGGAAAGTTTTGAAGAGTATCATTGGAAAAGTAGTCAGAAGGCACTATGAAGGGAAGTCCAAAAAAAATCTTCCGGGCTAGTCTGAAAATTCTTAAGAAGAAGCTTATGAAGGAAGAAAAAAAAACCGGGAATTTGAGAGAAAATACTTGAACCCTATGAGTTTTACTGAGAATTTTCAAAGATATAATGAATCAAGAATACGCAAAAAATTAAAAGTTTTGAAACTGTTAGAGACCCTAGTTACCAAGGGGTTCATCAATGTACCCTTGGCCAATCAATTGCAGTTTCATAACTATACATTCTGAATGAGTACAAAAAAAATAGATTTTAAGAATCTCCATGCAAAAAGAGGTCAGGTTCAGTGTGAATTGCTCCAATGTTAGAAACACAATGTCAGTTCTCAAATGCAAACATGAGGAAAATCATTTTGCATATAATACTCACTCATCCGCATACAACATCAGAGACGAGTAGCGGCTTGTTCGATCCGCACTGATTTTGTTCGTTTTCACTTTGCTTCGATTTTCTTCGTTGAACGCGAAATTGAGCAAAACTAACATGACATGACCATGACTGATTCTGAATGTAGTAGTGTGGATGAATCCCCAGTGATTATTTTTTGCATGCTGAGTCGTTTACGATTGCATTCGTTAACAACAGCTGAGTGAGAATTTCGTAGAAATAATTACTTTTTTATTTGCTAGCTTGAAACATAACTTGACACATTAAAATTGGTATTTAGATGGAGAAAAGTATTACACCGTAGACTCCCGCTAATCTGAATCAACTTCGCTTTACTCGTCCATTTACAAGTCCATTTTTCCATCGCACCTCGCTATTTCAAGAGCACACTACTTAAAATCTACGAGGATTATACATCTGCAAATTTCAGACATTGCTTGCTTCTCTGCAGCAAACAATAAGTAGTAGTTTCCGCTACGTGCATTCATAGAAATTTTATTATTTTCACATGTGAAATTGCGAAGTGTAACACGAAAAAGGACGCTACAGGGAATCACCTTAAACAGCGGGAGAACGAAAAAAACATGAAAAATTCACTGGGTCTTACATATGAATGTACATCTAATTGATGGATGTTCAGTAGCCCAATTTGACAGCAAATCACGCGTATTGTAACACATAAACCTAAAGTACTGTAAAATTCACTTATTTAAATCATTAGCGTTCAGTTTT